AAGTGTCAGCTCGCATACAGAAGGCTCGGTTGGCATTTGCCAAATTGAGACATCTGTGACGTCTTCGCGACATCCGGTTGTTCATGAAGGGTCGAGTGTATGCCGCGACAGTTCGGCCAGTTCTGTTAAATGAAACAGAAACTTGGTTAACAAGAAAACGGTACGATAGACCGTCAGTGTTTAAATACCGCTGTCCACGCAGCGTTGCACGAATCTGGTGGGGTAGCCGGATGAGCAATGCTGAAGTTAGGCGCATAGTTTTAGGTAACCGCGGCCGTCCACTGGAGCAAGTGGTCGACCTCCATAGATTACGTTGGCTGGGACATGTGCTACGCATGTCACTAGGTAGGTTACCACGGCGAGCGATGTTCGCCGAAGAAGATACAGAGTGAAAAAAGCCAAGGGTGGTCAAGTTAAGACCTGGCACGAGGGTATGAAAAGCCTAACCAGGAGTCTGGGTCACATAGGTCCTGTTAGGCTCCCTGGTTGGGGACCTCGGGATGATCGTAATCGATGGTTAGAGACACTGAGTGGTATGGCTGGGTGTCGTAAACAGTGGCGTTCGTGCATCTCCTCAATTTCTTCGCAACATTAGTCCACTGAACTTCTCAGTTTTCTCTTCGTCCTAATTTCAACCTTCTTGTTTTCCTCCTATTGTTCATCCCAATGGGCAGCCAAAATACAGCAATCAAAAGCGATGCACGTCAGTGCGTGCCTAATGGTTGTTCAAACTGAAACTCAATAAGAATTAGCTGATGGAAAACCAACGGAAACCTTGGAGATAGTTCGATTTTTGTCCGGGTAAAACAGAGAACGTAAAATTTAATCGAAATGTGATAACTCACCAACGGTCGGTCGTCATCATCATCATCATCTTCATTGCCTGCACCAGGTTCTGTAGTTCCTTGTTCTTGAGAACTGGAAAACTCATCCGCATCCATCGAATCATCTGAATTGTATGTCGTGATATGTGGCATCAGCTTTTTCCGTTTGTCAATATCAGACATGATTCAGCCGTTTATACGGAGAAACAACTAGATTGCTCTTTTGTTACAGTCCGAAACGTATCCGAAGAAAATCGAAATTTGCCCGAAAACTACAATAGATGAACTCCAGTTTCGTAATAGTCCGACGTCTGTGGGACATGAAAAAGCAAACAACGTGTCACAACACAGATCATAAGCGAGCATTTGTTTTCGATGCTTTCACTGCTGAGCCATGCAGTCACATTCTCAATACACAAGAATTTGGTTGGGTGGTTAAACAAGTTTGGCATAAACTCATGGTTGCTTCGATTCACCCTCCTACGATTGCCCCTACGGAGAGCATCCTCTGCTGTGGAAGCACTACTCACTGCCTTCTCAGTGCAAAGGTGATTCCCCACCAAATTGAGAGGATTAATAGCCCACATACGGGGCTATAAAAGGGTTGGTGGACCACTGGTAGTTCACCTAGGAGNGTTGGTCAAACACGCACACACCTTTCCGGTTGTGGCAATGGCCACCGACTCGATTGGGCGTCAAGGTGTATTGGGCACCTTGATGAACTGGACACCGGCCCCTAATGAATTGCTGTTTTCACACACCGCCCCGTTGCCTTGCTGGTATAGCTCTGGCTGGTCGAAANTCAAGAAAATTCACCTGTCTTGGCAGTTTCTTTATACCTCTACGCCATGTCACGGTCTGAAAGCCACGCCGCTTCTTCCAGCCTTGCCCGGCATGTGCAAACAGAACATAGAAAGGTAGTCCATTGGGGCATACGCAATAAATGACAAAGCCATCGGAGGCGATTTAGAGCGATTACTTCTGTTAGAGAACGATTATCCACACATAAAACACGACGACGAACCTCGTCATTACTCACCCCGTGCTCCCACCAGACATTAGCAATGCTTCGGAGACATCGGTGGTCGAATACAGAACAGCGGGGATGCACACCCTTCCCTTAAGGGACAGTCGGATGTCATGGCGGCCCCACGGGTGTCGCAGGTTGGTGAAAGCTACTCTAGCTTTCGCCGTTTGTGATTTGATCTCCTCCCCAACACCAACACCAGCTGCGATCAAGCTCCCGATGTACTCAAAGCTCTTAACTACTTCCAGCTGATCACCACAGAGGTTGAGTGCAGGCACAAGTTCCTGCCAATACCAAACAAGCACTTTGCACTTGGAAGGTGCAAAGCACATACCACATCTGGATACCTCGATAGTCAAGCGGTTCAAAGCGTTTTGAACTGCCTGTGTATTGTCACCCAGGAAGGCGACGTCATTGGCATATTCCAAGTCAAGGACTCCGTTCCCTGTGAGGAGTTGGAGTCCACCGTTTGCTAGACCGGATAAAGCATCCTGTAGAACATCCTCTATGACAAAGTTGAAATGGAATGGGATGTGGGGCAGCCCTGTCGAACTCAACTGGAGACGGCGAAGGGTGGCAAAAGTTCGCTATAGGTCTTAACGCGACCTGAGGTATGACGATAAAAGTCTTTGAAGATAAACACGTCTCAGGTACTCCATTACTCAACAAACAGTTCCATAGTGCGGTCATATCGACTGAGTGGGTTTGTTGACACAAACCACGGGACATATGCCGAAATAGATGTCTCCTGTTCCCTTCGGTTCTGTTCTCTTCTGTTCCGTATGATCGATGACTTATTAGAACGTCCAGAAATGAGATCTGATCATTCAGCTCATTCTCCGGAGCAAACTTCATGTTTGGATGTATTGAGTTAAATACTTCCAAGAGTCTTGGCAGATGCACAATGTCATCGACAAAGCACAAAATTCCATCCACATACCGCTTGAAAAAATGCGCAACGATCGATTGTTCGTTGGAGGATGTTATTCCCCTCCATGGCCATGGAGATATTTGTTCAGTTCACATCAGTTCTTACAACCATTAACCATGCACTTTCGTGTGCCGGTTTGGTTGCCCATTTGGATAAAACATCAGAATGGTGATTACAATGTTGAGAGTAGATTCAAGCAGAAGATAGCGCATTTACACAGTCTGAAGTCACAAGGATAATGAGTAGATGCATGAACGCCACTGTTTGCGACACCCAGCCATATCGCTCAGTGTCTCTAACCATCCGTGACCATCAACTCGAGGTCCCCAGCCAGGGAGCCTAATAGGACCTATGTGAGCCAGTCTCCTGGTCAGGATTTTCATACCCTCATGCCAGATCCTAGTTTGACCACCCTTCACCTTTTTCCAATCGCTACCTGCCTCGGCAAACATCGCTCGCCGTGGAAACCGATCTGGTGACATGCGTAGCACATGTCCCAACCAGCGTAATCTATGGAGGTCGACTACCTGTCCCAGTGGACGATCGCGATTGTCTAAAACTCTACGCTTAACCTCAGCATTGCTCGTCCGGTTTCCCCACCACACTCGTGCAATGAGACGTAGACAGAGGTGTCCGAACACCGACAATCTAATGGCCAAGTCTCTGCATCGGAAAGCAGAACTGGCCGAACTGCTGCAGCATATACTCGACTCTTCACAGAAATAGCTGTGAGAAGCTGACGCTGACGGCCAGTTAAATTGTGCTTGAAGTGCTCCGCCCAGGGTGCGAGACGTTGCTGTTGATTACAAATGGGCGAACCGTCAGCTTCGCAGATCGTTTCTCTCACACTCAAGGCTTTCCTACCGATGACCCGGAGGAGATGGAACAGCTTACGGGAGTTTTCCATGGCGGCAGCACGTTCCATCTCTGACG